AGTTTTTTTTTATAAGAAAACGTATTTGAGATTAAATTTTTGGATAATTTTTTCGTTTTTTCTTTTCCTTTACAGATTCCATTTTTGTTGCATATTTTATTAAAAAAAAAAAATATTGTAAGCTGCACGCAACAATTTAAATGCATCAAATTTGAAAACTCACAACTGCCTCCGCCGCGATTTGAACTCGCGACCAACGATGGTTGAGTCGGAGGTCTTCTCGCTGAGCTACTTTCGTATTGTACGAGTAGTGAGCATTTGCACATTTACACCGCAAGTTTCAACTGTCCCGCTCTGCATTCCTTTTGCACTAGTACAGAGATAGTTCTGAGATATGTAGCAAGTGACTATGTGGGCCTCTGCTGTGCTGCCCAGTCGCATACCTCCCCCTCGACGCCGCCGACCACTACCATAAGGCAGCACCCCCTTTTGCAGCACGTACAGCAGGGAGCCGGCAGGCAACACAACTCCCTAACACCACATATAACAATCGGTCTCCCAAGGCACACAAAGGTGCTACAATTTAACTGTAACCGACTCCAGAGCAAGACGAGGAGATAACTGTCTTCATGGGAAGGCATGGAATATTAATAGCTGCGGTCCAAGAGACGAAGTTGCACGGAAATTCCCCCTTGTTGAATCTCGCCGGATACAACGTGCACCGCCGAGATCGCGAGCGAGACAATGGTGGAGGTTTAGCGTTCATCACGCACAACACCGTGCAGTATCGACTTATTGAAGCACACATCGACCGCAGGGATACCATCCTAGAATGTCAGGGTATTGCTATCCGATCAAGCGATATTGAGCTCGAAATATTTAACGTATACATACCCCATGTCACCAGCTGCCCGGCAGGATATCATCCTGAAATAGGTACGCTACTCAGAGGTGAAAACCGTATGGTAGTTGGCGACTTTAACGCGCACCGCGATCTTTGGCACTCAAGCCTGTCAAACGATCGAAGGGGAATACATCTGGCTGAGCAGATAGACGATTCGACATTCTGCACAATGAACGACGACGCAACCACCAGGATTATGGGCAGCTGCTGCAGCTCGCCAGATCTAACAATTGTCAGCGCTGGTCTGATCAACAGCGTATCATGGCGACCTATGCTGATCCTAGCATCAGACCATCTGCCCATAGTCATCTCGATTGATAAACCTGCCGACTTTGCTTCCGCGGATCACCAAACCTATGTCAACTTTTCCAAATCTGACTGGAAAGGCTTCGCGGATGTTACTGAAAGCGCCTTTACTGCACTACCCATACCAACCGGCGTCCACATAGGTGAACGTAAATTCCGCAGGGTTGTCACTGCTGCTGCAGCTCGCTTCACCCCAGCTTCATCCGAACTTTCCTACTGAAGCGGCTGTTCTAACCGATGAGCGTGACAACCTTCGTCAGGCCGATCCTGGAAATCCCCGTGTCAGGGATCTCAATTTGGAAATTCGGCAACTTGTGAACGTACATAAGCGGAAGAAACGGGAAGAGCATTTGAAGACCTGCAACTTCGCCTCTGGTGTGAGGAAGCTTTGGTCAACCGTGAGGTCGTTGTCCAACCCGACGAAGCGTGACGACAGAGTCGAAATAGTCTTTGTTGACCACGCTTCGTTGGACCAGGAGCGATGCGCGAGCTATTTTAGCCGGCAGTTTATTCTGCATCCTCCGGTGGATAAAGCCAAACGTCGAGTGGCCAAAAGGCTGCACAAAATGCCAAAACCCAGTGCGCCTCTTGTTTTCACCAGCGCTGAGGTAAGGGTAGCTATCGGGAAGGCGAAAGCCTCCAAAGCCATTGGACCCGACGGAATATGCATGTTGATGCTGAAAAATTTGGGAGTAGCGTACCTAACGGAGGTCCTCAACTTGTCTATGGCCACTCTAGTCATTCCAGACATATAGAAGATGGGGAGAGTGGTCCCATTGCTCAAACCGGGGAAACCAGCCAACAAAGGAGAGTCTTATCGCCCGATAACCCTCCTTTCCCCGGTAGCGAAGACACTAGAGGCCTTGCTACTCCCGTATTTCACGAACCGCCTGACCCCAGCGAAGCATCAGCATGGGTTCCGTAAAGTGCATAGTACAATAACAGGACTTAACGCAATAAACACTCAGAAACATGTGAGAGAACTATTCTAGTAGCGTTGGACCTGTCCAAGGCATTTGACACTGTCAGTCATTCAACGCTGCTAGAGGACATAGAGGCCTCCTCTCTCCCACAGGGACTCAAATGGTGGTCGGCGATGTACCTGAGTGGTCGACATTCGTCAGTAATTTTCAGAGACAAAACCAGCAAGCCACGTAAAATTAAACAGGGGGTACCATAGGGTGGTGTCCTGTCCCCACTATTGTTTAATTATTACATTTCTAAGCTTCCTCAACCACCAGAGGGTGTCAATATTGTCTCTTATGCTGACGATTGTTCGATTATGGTGTCTGGGAATGGAATTGATGACTTGTGCTCGAAAGTAAACGGTTATCTCGCCGAACTTTCTCGCTTCTTCACTGCAAGGAGCCTCGTTCTATCCCCTCCGAAATCCTCGGAAACCCTATTCACCACCTGGACGAAGGAGGTCAGACTGCAACTAGGTATTCACGTTGATGGCGTAACAATACCGATGGTGAATAACCCGAAAATTCTCGGAGTTACCTTCGACAGTCTGCTCTCCTCTTCGGCGTATACAACCGCAATGGCCAAAAAAGTACAGAGCCGCAACAATGTCATCAAGTCGCTGGCCGGCAGCACTTGGGGCAAAGATAAAGAAACGTTGTTGGCAACATACAAGGCAATTGGCCGGCCGGTTCTAAACTATGCAGCGCCCGTGTGGTCGCCTGGGACTAGCAGGACGCAGTGGATGAAGCTACAGACCTGCCAAACTACGGCATTACGAACAGCGACCGGATGCCTCCTGATGACGCCCCAACACCACCTTCGCGACGAGGCCCAGATGCTCCCAGTCAAGGAGCATACCATAATGCTCTGCAAGCAGTTCCTTGTGGGGAGCCACAGACGTGGCCATCCCAGCAGACAGCTGCTTGCAGAAGAGCCCTCGCCAAGGCACGTCAGGAGGCATTTCTACGAACTGAAGGACGAAGTCCAGAGGTTCATTAAACAACCTCTGGACCCGTCAGCCCACCGACAGGCCCTGAGCGGCATTCACAGAGAATCAGTCTCGACTTAAGTAGACTCCCACCATATGAATGCCGTTCTGGGCACACAACCACCGGACGTGGACGGGACAGAACTTTGTCGGCCTCGGGAGACCCGCACCACAATAGCCCAACTTCGCTCTGGCTATTGCAGTAGGCTCAACTCATACTTGAGCAGAATTAATGAGGATGTGCCCAACCAATGCCCGGCATGTGGGGAGTCCTCGAGGATTGTTGTTAAGGCGATCTAACCCCGTTTAGGTCGGCGAAATCCATCAAACTTTGTTCGATTATGGGGCTACATCTGTTCCATATCCTTCTGTCAGGGCTGGCATTGGGTCAAACCCAGGGCCAGGATATGCACCATACTCCACCTCGGTCAGGTGCAGCCAAGGCGAATTTATACAAGGTGGTGTTGTAAAATCAGCTGATTTCTTCGCCTTACATGTATTTTGTTTTTGCTTTTACTGATTTGACAGCACACCCATCAAAAGCAAAAACAAAATACATGTAAACTTTGGGGCGAATTGAGATTTGACATAACACCCGCCAGTAACACCACCTTGTATTAATTCGCCTTGGGTGTAACTCATGCGACGGGAGGAGTCATCTCCGCACCTTATTGGGCTTAAGAACGCACCGGCAGTGTACCACGACATTCGTGGTCTCGTTCTGTGCGAACCGGACCGCCTCCACGGCACCGCGGAGCTCGCCCGAGCAGCACAACGCTAACACACCCACACCCCAACACAACACAACAATAGACACTCATACGAACACTGCCGCACCTCCACCAACACACCGCCGCCGGCAACTCCTAGTCCCTCCGACAATCTGCTCGGTTTGTCGGTCCAGAATATACCATGATGCGACATCAGTCAAGTGCAATTCCTGCCTTGGCTGGTGCCACCTTAGGGCATGATGCGGACTACTCAACACGCGAGACTGTACAAGTTTCTACGTGGATGCTGCCTGCGGAGAGTCGCCACATCACTCACGAAACCTCTTCGCGTGCCCCCAAAACCTCACTCAGCTAGCCCCTTTCCCTATGGACAGAGCCTGTTGTAGTTTCGCACTTCCAGCGCCTCCCTTAGCTGAACCAGACTACAACGTTGATAGATTATCCCACTCGAGCGGGGTTTAGTAGCCGCTACAACAACAACACTTTTTGCTACACATTGTCCCTTGACCATGTTGAGCTTTCCCTTAAGATCTTTGTGAAGCTAGTTGCTAACCGTCTTAGAGCGGGCCTAGACTGAGAGCGGGTCGTAGACAAAATCATCTATGCTGATAGGGAGGTTTTAGAGGGAATCTTTTGGCAAGGAATATACGAAAATGGGACATTTATGTATACTTATACAGAGATGAACTTGGAGCTTCTGACAGAATCACGCTATACTCAAAGCTATGTACATTTATGTGACCTTGTTACGCAAACCCCTTCTTTTGTACCCCATAAATATCTGGAGGTACTCAACTCTCTAAGTAACCTTCAAAAAACTCTCAGGCCCGCTGGATGAAAAATATAGTGAATTAAAGACTAGCTTGATAGGCTGCAGCAGGAACAGAAATTATACAGACGAGGTTTGTGCAGACAATAAAATTTGCGAAATAATTTGCTATATAGTAGCTGAGAACTGTGCCGGCCTGCTCAGTGGGTAGATAAACGGCAGAAAAGTGCTTACATGAAATGTATTAATTTGAAAAGTTCTAAGCACCTAAAAGCACCTTGGCTTGACCTTTGAACAAACTTCACTACCTCATTGTGGTATCTTTTTTTAAACCTCTTCAAATGAAATAAACTGAATTTACCTAACCCAATTAAAGGAAATTGATCCAGGTTTATATCGTTATATTAAAAAAGTGATTTATTTCAAATTTGCCCTTAGTATGTAAGTAACTAAATAATTTGTTGTAATGAAAAGTGTATTTGAGCAAATACATATTTGACATATTCTTATTTGATACTCAATATTAATAATTGCATTTTTTGTACATTTTGAAAAAAACTTCCCCATGGCAAATGATACATACATATATTCGATTGCGCTTAATAACATTATTATTGTGTATGTTTGTATAAGTGAAAATACCAACGAAAAAAATACATACATTGAGCTTAATACTATGTATTCAACATAAAATTATTGCAGTTATTTCCTTTAAAAGAAGTTATTAATAAAACACATTACAATAAAAAATATACTCGCTCGTTTCTGTAAATATTACAGCATTAAGGTGAACCCCGTACAGGAGGCATCGGCTTTCCCATACAGTCGATAGCTCAAACAATCGATCATCCCTACGCGTTTACTCCAGCTCACCACTAATGCCAAAACGTATTATGGCCAACAAATCCACCAAATAGATGAGCGTGGTAACCAATGAAACTGAGGCAGCACCCAAGACTAGGTCAAGCCGTTGCATATTCGGATGCCAATAGTTGCGTTCCTTTGTGGTGGACCAATCGCGGAAGAGCATCGCCGTCGCAGCAATGAGGAGAATGAAGCCAACTAAAGACCATAAAACCGAAGTGCGCCAAGGGGTGCTGTGGATAAGAGGAAATAAAAGAAATAAAATGAAAAAAAAAAAACTAAATTTGTACAAGACAAGAGCGTTCAAAAAGGGGGCACTACGCACATATCGCCGAACAATGCCATAATTAAGTAAATTGACGAATAAATGATGAGGCTGCCAAAGGTTACATAGCAGAGCGCAACAACGCGCGGCGTTATGAAGATGCGCAGATGTGAGTGCGTGGATGGCTCATCGATGAGGCCGATGCAGACGACGACAAGTGCCTGAAATGGTTATAAAGTAGTTATTGGAGTTTTCATTAAAGCTTAATTGGATTAAGTTGAAAAGTGTAGACATTAAATTTAATTATAGTGTACGCATAAGCACACATACATATGTATACATATGTACATACATGCTTGCGATTGCATACTTACTAGTTCCAGTATTTTAATGCCAATCAGCGAGTAACTGGCACGCTTCGAGCCGCTACTGGTCGTGTAGGTGGCGTCCTCCGCTGGTGTCATCTCTACGCGTGAGATTTCTGTGCGAAAGAACAAGAGCACAAATGAATTTATTGTTGTTGGTAATAAAATTAAATGGCATAAGAATAATATACAAATATGGTTAGGCAATTAGGGGAATAATGGGGACACATAATAATCGAAATGCCTTTTGAAGAATTTTGTTTACCTACGGAACGCAGATAACTCATTTTGGCAGCTGGTTTAAAAGCTTCTTCTTTGTTACAATTGAATGCTTTTCTCTGACACAAGTGGGTGCGTACTGCGATCGAAGCACCTTGAACTTAGCTATCAGCGCGAGATATGTATAAAGCAAACGCCTTTTATTCGCTATACGTTTAATTTTTGAACAGATTGTTTAGTTCTAAATGAAAAAATTCAACAGAATTTAGTAACACAAATAATTAGAAACTAATTTGTTTAATGTTAGCAACATTTAAAATAAAGAACACACAAAAAATAACACACAAATTCATATTAGTAGAACAGAGGAATGCTCTGTTTGAACTTTCATGATTTTTTTCTTTTATTAATGCGTCATCGTGTGTTTTAGCAAATTTGTCGGCTCGTTCCCTCGGTAGGGCGGTTGCATGATCACTATGAAAACGCGCTCAAGCGTGCAATGATGGCAGGCATCTTTCCCCCCCAAAAAGACACCATTAGACATATTTGCATGCAAACACATACATACATACTTATGTATGTACTCGTATAAATTAGAGTAATTGTGTAATTTGAATTTTATGCTTTTTCAAGCATTTCAATGAAGGTCAAATAGTTTATATTGAGGTTTTTTCATATAGTATGTTATAATTCTTACTTTGATAGCATTTCCTTACATCGAAGGTCTTTTCAACAACATCACGCCTGATGCAATAACATCAGCTCTAACGGACCTGGGCAGTGTCGCTTGTACGGAAATTGCTAGTAGGCAGAGTCGTGCGGGCGGAACTGGCGGGGTTGTTGCTGGTCAGATACGTTTGCAGGTGAACTCCGCAGGGTGGGCTTCTGTCTCCCCTTCCGTCGGTTGTGGCAATTAACGATTTGTTGCAGGCTCTGGAAGGGGAGGAATGGGGTTGTGAGCGGAAAATTTCCACAAACTCTGCGTGCAATCATGCAGAATAAATCAAGACTAATTGAAAGATGGACCAATGAGAAAGGCCTGGGTGTTATCCCGGACAAAACTGACCTGGTTCTCTTTACACGGAAGTACAAAATCCCTTCACCCCAGCTCCCTACCATAGGCACCACGACGCTGGGGCTAGGGGAATCTGCGAAATATCTAGGCGTAGTACTGAACAAAAGGCTTCACTGGGCACAAAATGTACAAGAATGCGTTAAAAAAACAATTGTAGCCCTCTACTTCTGTAGTAAGTGGGCAATTGAGCGTAGCTGGGGCTGCCCCCAAGCATTATACACAGGCTTTACATAGTAGTTGCTAAACCTATTCTACTCTAAGGGGTTTTTTTATGGTGGCCAAGTCTCGGCAAGAAATCTACAATTGAAGCACTGAAGCTCGACTTGGGCTAGAAAAATCTTTTCGCCTACCCGACCATTGCAGTGTCTTTCAGGCGGAGGTCGCTGCCATACAGGAAGCGATTGAACACTTACGTACAGGAAAAGCAATATGTGACAATATCTTCATATACTCAGACAGTCAGGTGGCACTTACGGCGCTGGACTCGGTCACATGCAGCTCAAGAACTTTACGCGAAGACAAGGGGCAGGAGGGATAGTCTGACAACTTGCAGCAACACAAAGCTTGTGTGGCCAAAATGGAACGAGAAGCGGTCGAAATGTCACCTCATGCTGAGCAGAGGGGGCTTAGCTACAGCCATGGGCCTGCTAACAGGCCATGGTGCCATTGGAAAGCACGCGGAGAGGCTAGGGATCCCCAAAAACGACTTTTGCTGATGCTGCAGAGACGAAGAAGAGACGAAAACCTTACTGCACCTGCTGTGTGAATGTCCCGCACTTTTAAAAAGAAGAGGAAAGTTCTTAGGCTCCGGATTCTTCAAAAGTTTAACCAACATAGCCGAAGTAGGAATACTCTTGAGTTTCGTAGACTTCACACGGTGGTTTGAGTAGGAAGGGTCTAAAGTCCCGAGTGGTATCACAACGGGCCCAAAATCTTAAGGGCCTAGGTATGCTGGTGCGTACACTGGCAGCTACTTCAACCTAACCTAACCTATGGTATAATTCTTAACGGTAGTATAAAAACTATATTTTTTCTAAAAGTAAAATGCGGTAACGTGTGGAAGTTAGTTATGTGATGTGACTTAGCATCTATTATGCTCTCTAAGTATATAATAGTATAATAATAATAGCATAGTTTAAAGCAATAAAACTCTGTGCACGACTATTAAGGAATTCCTACCATTGAAAAATTATCGTCCATATCAACAAAAATGACTTCGATAACGTGAAGATTCATTTTTTTATTAATTTCCCACAAATTTAGATAAATATACGGATAAGATCAAGGCATCGAAAAAATTTCAAAATGTTTAAATAATTTTTAGTGGTCGGTACCAGAGTTGAAAAATATTAAAATTCAACAAAATTTTAAATTTTTTGTTATCATTGAAAAAATAAATAAAATAATGCCTTCAGAGCCCAGGAAATCCATATTGACCTTTCCCTATACACACGGTGGCCATGTTTTAGAAATAAAAATACAGTACAAGCTTTCATTATGTATTTCTTTACGTTACCGTAATATTAAAAAGGGGCTTTTAGCCACATATAGTGCATCAGCTGTCACGGCTGACGTAAAGGTCCATTCTTTCTTCGAGTCACAGTTTTATAATGAACGCTGACCAAACATAAGTTCAAAGCCAAAATGGAAAGGGTGCTTATTACGAGGGCCTTTCCCTACAACCCCTACAAAGCTCCTAAAGCCCTCGGTTCTTCTTGCGACGAACAACAGTATACCGTAAATGAGTGATAACAAGGAGCGAATGGTGAAGTTTAATAGGCTAGACTCTAGTCCCATTACAATCTTCAGCGATGGTCCTGAGCTAAATAATAATGTCGGTAGCGAAATCCATTCGGAATAACTACTTCTAAGCATAAAACTGCGACTACCAGAGTACTGAGTATCTTCTAAATTGAATTAAGAGATAAAAGGAAGGCTTCTTGAATTAAAATACTCCATCACCGTCTAATCGGAAGGTTTCGATTTAAAATCTACAGCGTAACAAAGTCCCTTCGAAGGTAATAATTTAAAGAAGAATGTGGTTCTAAGCGATTTGGCAACGCGATGCATAAAGAATGCAGTCTGGCTTCGCGGGCACAGAAATATTCCTGAAAACAGCATTGGCGCGAAAGGAAACTAATCTGTAGTCGTTCAATTCTGTCCTAAATGCCATCAAGTAAACTATTTTCAAACGAACTATGGCTCAGATCTGTTTTAATTGATCGTCTCTCCTTTAGCTCAGAAGTTGATTTTATCAAAGCAAACTGTTCAATGGAAGGCGTAATACCTTACCCTCTTATGATTTCTACGGCAGTTACAGGAACGAGGAGAAGGTAAAGAGCATGGAACACTTTCTCTGCCACTGTCCTTTATAAGACAAGGTAATCTGAACCATTTCTTAAACGATTGTCTAACGGACTAAGAATACTCGAGTTTTAATAGCCTTCTGCGCTGTGTGTGAAAAATAAATGGATAATTTACATACATGGCAGTTTTTCAGCTTGTTTGTATTCTCTGCTATATCTTCACAATTTGTAACTACTAGGCTGTAATGCATTAATGTGTGACATCGTGTCATAAAAAGTACTTTCAAGGAACAAGTTTTGAAATAAAGGACTAAATAAATTTTAGAAAAATAAATAAAGTCAAAGGACAACATCATGACTTAGGAAAAATTTGAAAAATGCTGCATTTATTCCGAATAAACCTTAACAAGTTACAGTCTTTGGAGCTTAATATTGCATCATGAATCAATGGGGAGCAGTTAATGTCCGTATTAACGACTTGAACTCAAAACACTTTTTTTCCATGGTAAGCAAATATGTCAAAATTATAAAATTTTATTATATTCAATTTGACATTTTAGGTAGCACCCTAATGTAAATGCGTACATATCGACATACAAATATACATATGAGCCTACTGGTTTTCGAAATTTTTATTGTGGCATATCAGGTCTACCATCACTTTCTCCCTCCTCAAATGCAAGTATTTGCCCATACTTATGTACTACATATGTACATGTGTCTGTACTTACAAATTTATGCCCATATGCGTGGTGATGTTGTCTCTACGCATCCAGAAAAGTATGTCAATCTGCTTGCACGCGACTTATCTGCCATTGCATTACGTACTCTACTACTATGCACTCAGTATCTACCCACTTCCCATGGACAACAACAGCAAGTCGACCTTAGACAACTGTTTAATTCACGTGAGAGTTGAAAGGAAATGTCATGCAACTTATAGTGGGCTGTATTTATAACACACATATAGTATGTATGTACGTACACACATATGTTTTGACTATTAATTGTCCTGCACTTTAGTACAGGCCTATAAAGTGAAATGTTTTATTAGTGGTCTGCTTGGTTTTATTTGCCGAAATGGATATGCTTTATACACTGGAAACAATCATACATACAATATTTTACGCCGACTTTATTTGTTTTGAAATTTGTAAGGTTTTATCCAGGTGTTATCACAACTTCAAAACGGTTTTAGCCACTAATAGCTGTAAACGTATAGTACTGTACAAATAATAACTTGCATAGAAATGTTATTCTTATAGAATATGAATCCGAAAAGGGTATTCAAAGCGATATCGGTATCGATGCCGACAGTTGTATTCATTCATTTATTGATATAATTATCGAAATTTGCTTTATAGATTGAAAACTTACTGACAGCTCTTCATTGTTATCGATATTGAAAGAAAATGCATCGATAGCTTTTTTTCTACATATGTATATTGATTTATGTCGAATACGTCGCTCTTCACATGATAGATTCATCGATAATTCCCTAAAACTATCGATTTAT